ATTCCGAATATAGTAATATTTGATTTTAAATCATCTCATATCAGTAAATGGAGTTGCATGTTTACTGAGGCATAGTTATATAGTTCTTATAAGGGCATAAGTTTAGTTATGCCTTTTCACTAAAGATGATACCGAGCTTTCATGTTCCTTTATTTTTTTTGTTTTCATTCTTTCAGATTGCATTGGTTCAGCCTTCAATATAAAGGGGGCAATGCAATGCCCTAATTGTCGGAAAATCGAGAAAGGTCAATGGCTTTATTCTAATGGATGCCGTTCATTTCCGGAATTGAACATGGAAGACTGGACACATGATGAGGATCTCTCTGATTTAAGTTATTCTGAAATGGTATATAGTTTACATACTTGTTGAATTTTAACTTCTATTTTTCAGCTTCTTTTTGTGAATATTCAAATTTTGTAGTCAAATGCAAACTCTGGTTAATGGTTTTCTATATTCTGACACTATGGTTAAGGCCGTTTGTTCCTGTTTAGGTATGTCTGTGTGGGTTCAACTTGTGACAAATTTTAAGGTTGTAAACAATAAATAAAGTTAACTTACCAAAATGGAATCAATATAGCACCAAAAGGAAGTTCAGCTTCAAAGGCTAGGATAACCCATTCCTTATTAGAGAGTGCATTCCCTTCTAGCCAAAAGCCATGCGTCTAGATTTTCCTTTCATGTATGATATTTATCACTACTCTTAACACGTGGGCAAAATCTCAGTTTTCTCTCTTGCTAGTGGTGAACCCATCACCTCAGCGTATAGGTGCAGGTAATCTACTTTCTGCCTCAGGATATGAATTTCTATTTTGAGTGCAAGCATAATTGGTTGGCTGGTGTGGATGATTTTTTTCAAATGTAAGTTAATGATGATATTTAGGAGCACACTCTAAAATTGATTCATAGGTAGAGCCCAGTAAGCTGACAATTATTGAGGAGAAAGAGCCTGAACAGATTAGTGTTTGGTATGTAGTACTGTCATTAAAAGATTAAGTTGAAGGGTCTATGTAATTATAAGGCTCTCCATTACCTTCAAATTTGGAAAGGAACAAAGTGGAATGGAAGAGAACCAAAGGCGGCCCTTATTGTTTGTCGGCTGTTTATTTTTCTTCCCATTACATTTCATTTGAAGAGTGGAACCTTATGAAGAGTAAATGGATGAATAATTGTAGGTAAAACCTAACTAGAGTCCTTCATGTGAAGTAGTAGTACCAATGAAGAAGTTTGGTACTACGGTATTTATTTCGTCTCATGAGTAGCTTCCCATATAATTACAAGGACAATGTAATGTCTTCTGCATGTTATTCTGTGTTGGATAGTATTAAATCGAAGTGACACATTATGACTTTGAACTTCCATGTCATGTGTGTGTGTATAGATAATGACTTAGATAAACTGATGTGCTCTATAGACTACAATTTAGAAAAATGTTCGTCATTTTGATATATTGTTTGTATATAAATGATTTTTGCAGTCCTTTGGTGTGCACTGGTGTCCATTCGGTAGCTTAGCACGACTTCCTTCATCATTTGAGTAAGTGATTTCATTTGCTAAAGCTCGTGCTTAAATTATGTTTGCTGTAGTTAGCGTCTAGTGTCTTGGGTTCAAAAGATAACCAGTTACCTTAGGCTTTTAGGCTATTAATAAAAGTGATTTTGGCCTATGTCAATAGCTTGCCAAAATTGAGATTGAGTCGAGATATGGGTTGAGACAGGGATTCAAGATCTCAACCCACATCTTGATTCACATAGACCACAGCTTGGTCCTTTCAAGTTTAAAGCAGGTGAAGTTTTCAAGTTTGTTTAAAAGGGGTTAGTTTTCCAATGGACCCCTCCAAAGGGGTATCTTGATCGCAACTTCTTTTATGTTTGTTAAATTTGCAAGTTTGAATAGAAAAACATTCGTATTGGTTTTCACAATAAATTATCCCTCCTGATATGTGCAAGGAGAGGATATTTTCAAAAAATTAAAACCAAAGTGATTATAAAGAGTTAGAAAGAAGTAGCATGTGGCTAAGTGGTTCTTTTCTTAATAATTTAACTTCAGTGATGCTGCTAATTTTGCCTACTGGCTGGGTTAAGCAAATCGTGTGGAATCTTATTGACATAAAGTTTTAGTGCCAGTGGACCTTTATTGATCTTTTGCACACTTTTGGGCGCAGTTGCATTTTCCTGGGAAGTTACAAGAAAGCTCTGAGCACCATCATCTGACTATTTTCTATCTATAAACAGTCTTTTATTATCCTTCTCCTGCGGTCACAGTTATGTGTGGTTACTCTATTTATATTTTTCTTCCCTATTCCTATATGTTTATAAGTTTCCGAAAAAAATTGAGAATTTGGTATTCGACTGGGTGCTTGCTATTTGGACTTCATAATGTATTTGTTTCATCATTTTACTCTTTCATCTTTATGTCTTTCAAATTTTTAGATGAAGGTTAAATTTTCCAGAAAAAATAAAGTAGAAAAATTACAAGCAAATGTTGGATTTCAAATAGAATCACCTCTAATCAACTTTTTATTGCATGCAGACTTTTGTTTTTCATTTTACTTGCGATTCAAGTTTAATACTTTCTCCTATGCGTTGAACTTTTTTTTTTCTTCACAATTAACAGGGAAGGGGAGTTTTCACCAACCTCGTGTAAGACTTTCTTCTTTTCATTTAAGTTTGTGATATTCTATTCTGGCTTTGTGGAGGGTTATAATATAATGTGTGGTATTCATATGATTAATGTTGTCCTGCAGATCACGAAATACTTGGACAGCATGCTATCTTTGCTGAGCATACAGCTGTATCGTCTGCTGCCCATCCTTGCCCATATATCGCTTACTTTGGGCCAATTCACCCTTCATCCTCAAACTCCAGTGGAACTGTGTCAGAAGCTTCCAACTTCAACCATCATTGGAGTGGCACATCCGTACTGAGTGAAATGCCCAACTCCTATGCTTTTCCTGCCATGGATCTCCATTATCACAGTTGGGAGCACCATTCCCCGCCTTCATTCTCTACAACCAACAATCATATTGGTGGTGTTGACCAGGCTTCAATTCCATCTGTTACTCAAAGATCTGCTAGGCCGAGCGCAGAAATAGCAAGATCGGGATCTTTTATGCATCCATTCCTTGTCGGTCACAGGTATGCCTTGACAAAATTTCAAAGGTGGTTTTTAGATAGTTTCCATCCTTGCTTATGCTTTTAATTTCTAGAAAAGTTATCACACCAGCAAAATCATCCATGGTTCTCGTAATTTTCATTGAATTTGTTTAATGATACGAGAGTACAAAACTCTCTCTCGATGCGGTGGTTGATGACAAGCTGCATAACTTGCTCATAGATACCAGAAGTGTTATGTTTATTGAATCATTAGTGTTTGCTATCTGCAGCTCTAGTGCTAGAGCTGGCAGCTCAATGACATCGTCAATGATTCCTCCTTATCCTGGCAGCAATGCACGAACCCGCGACAGAGTCCAAGCTCTTCAGGCATACTATCAACAGCAACAGCCTAGTAATTCACCAACCATGCGTACGCCCATAGTTCCTGGAGCCCGAAGATCCAGCAGTCAAAGAGGGGTGGCTCAAGTAGGGCCAGTGGCTTCATCATCAGACCAAAATGGTGGTTTTTATATTTTCCCATTCGGTTCATCAGGTCGTAACTACCAAGAAGCTGAAAATCCGTTACCTAGTCGTTTTCATCCATGGGAAAGAGATCATTTGCCTTCATTCCCGATGAATCAGGTTGACCGAGATCAAGGTTGGGCTGCCTTTAACCAAGGTGGCAGTGGGTCAGACTCGATGATCAGAGGGAGCAGCTTCCGGCAAAGACATGGGTCTGAGAGGTCATCTTCACAAAACCGGTTATAGGCTTTTCTCCCCATCCTTTTGTTGGTGAAGCAAACAACCACTATCTGTAACTGAAATCAAAAGTTGTGTATGCTTGAAAACGATATAGAACGCTTGGCGTCTTGTAATCATGACAAGACGCCAAAATACTCTGTCGAGTGGCTCTGAAAACGGTCTTTTTGCAGCCACAGGGTGGTGTGATGGACATAACATTCGTCTAGTTTCTTCGCCTTTGGGGGTATGAAAATAGGCTCTTTGTGGATGGCAAAGTTAAAATATGAGCGCCTGCTTGGCCATGTTTTATGATTTTCGGGTCATCCGCAAGTGTCCCGGTTTTTATCCGGATGACAAAAACCAACTGTTCTTGAGGATAAGTAATCTGTGGGTCATTTATTTATGTCCAGAAACATGTATTCCTGCAGTGCTCGGTTTCCTTTCCAACAATTTGTTGGATACACAAGACATCACATCTTTTAACAATTATTCTCCTGCCCAGTGCTTGTATAACCGTGCAATTAAACCAAATTATTCTGTTTTGCACTGCAGATAAAAAAGTTCGTTAATTATATGTTTGCTATAGCGGATAAATTTGGAATGAAAAACTTCCTGAGTTCGAGGCATATTGAAAGTAGATGAGAACGATTTTTCATTTTGAAGGAAGCTTCTCTGTCTAATCCATCATTTTTGTGAGTATTAGAATGATTCGATTTTCTATGAGTAATGTTAGAAAAATTAACTGTTTAAACTGAATTTTGCAAATTATATGACGGGAGTTATTTAGATTATTATTTAATTATTAGTTAACATGCTTCTTTTACTAATGATACATTATATAATTTGTAAATTTAATTTAAAAGATTTGTCTATCTAACACTGCTCTTTTCATGTTTATCGAGTAATTCACCTTTTACCTACCGAGTTTTGTCACAAATTTCGAAGAACGTGTGAAGCACAATAAATGATAAGACTAATTCTAAATGGTTTACAACAATTTTTCTTAATATCCACACTAAGATTACTGTGAGGGATCGATCATTTATCGCCAAGTCTAGGAGTTTCTCTTTTTTTTTGTTGATTTTGAAATTCGAAAAGAGTCAAAAACATATTTTCTTGCTATTTTCACCGCACCAAAAGCTTGCCAAATTTCGGGCACGACGAGAAAAGATAACTGCAAGCGTACTAAATTTCGGGCACCAAGCCCATTGTATCGCAACGCAACCGTGCTACAAATGCAAACCAATTCAGCAGGTGACAACATTGGTTAAGATCACTTTTAATACATCATACTAAATTTAACGTCACTGAGTTCATCGATGCAATACTAGACCGTTCAAGGAATGTCCTAAACCGAACGCATAGCACACAAGTTCCTAATTTCCTTCCGTCTACGAGAGAAAGGCAATAGGAAATGATAATGACGGCCCCGGAGTCTACAGAGACGCGTCCTTCGGATCTCACCTGGAAATCGCAGCCTTTGTTAATACCTCATTAATATTTGGTAAAAAGTGCCGATAACACTTGCTGGATGAAAAAACTGAAATGCAACAATCATCAGTGAAAATTTAAGCAGTACCAGGCAGAGGGTGAAGGAGACCGAGATATGCTTCTGGACCTTGACCTTGATCTGCTCATAGTCCTGCGACGAGGCTGCGTAGCACCAATTTCAGATGTATTAATGGAATGCAATTCCATGAGATTCTCCTTGTTTTTCATATTATTGCTCTTTCAATCAAGAAAAGGTGAAACAGAGTGAAAATGGAACTTACAATATAATTTGGAGACCTAGATAGTGTCCGAGATCTGCAATATTTCCAATAATCCAAAATTAATATCAACAACATTATTCTTTTCTATTGACGCTCTGACACGACTTCCAAGAGCAGACTTACCGTAATTGAAAGCGTAGAAAATAGTAAAAATCATAAACCTTTTATCCTCAGATGCTCTACACCAAGCACCCCATGATCTTTCCAGCATGTCTTAAATATAAACCAATTAATAAAAGTAAGAAATCAAAATACCAGCATCACACAACATCGAATCCTAGATGAAAAGAGGAGAAAATCCACGCATCCTTATCGCAAGTTAATGAATGTAGTAGTTTGTGAGCTTTATGCGTCCCCACCGCTGATTTGTGGGTTTGATAGCGTTCAACAGTAATCCATCTTAGAAGTGATTAAAATTATTTTCATTGAGTTTTTTTTTTTTTTTTTTTTTTTTTTTTTTTCGGAGGTGCTCATCAACAAAATCGCGTTACCTCAACTAAGAGTTGCAGGCATGAGCACCACATCCCATCAAGGTCCTAAGATCCAGTCCCCAGATCTCCACAAATGCCTGATCTAGCAAGAAACAAGGAAACCTTCATAAACAGATTAGGATAACCTGCTAACCCTTGTTAATAACCCATTAACCCCTTACACCATCGAAAATTTAGACAAATGATCTTGTACACCAAATTTGTGGGAGTGTAAACGAATTTCAAAGACGTGGTAGTAAGATCCCCATGTTGGAAAAGACTAGAAACAAGACAAAACTTCAAAATAGACGCGAACCTTCTTATTTTTCAAAAACATACTCAGATTTGTTAAAAGAATCAAAAGATGAAACACAACCACCTCGTACCCTTTTCCAAAAAACATCAGTCATAAAGGTTTAAAAAGTAAAAGAGACGGGAAATACTTGAATCCTGTAGAACAAATCTAAGGGATTGATAGCTTGAACTATAGCGCACATATGGGTAACTAAGCAACTAGATAGGAAACAAAAAGGTACGGCTGCCCTGTACGCCAGAAGCTTCCAAGATTGAGAACCCATCATGAACAAAATTTAATTTGAAGTTTTCTTCACATTTATAAACACAATTACGCGTATGACTCGCAATAAAGCAAAAGCTTAAGCACTTGGCCAGTACACCACAGCTACTAAGTTGCAATGAGTAACCCAAACCTATTGGTAGCCGTTTTGAAAATTTAAGCTAGAGCTTAATGATGACTAAAGCCTAAAGGTTATGGATGCCCATATACATACTACTCGGCTACCAGAGAACAGAAAGAAAATGTAGGAGAAACACTAATTTGATGGTGAGAAAAAAACCTAGAAAGCAACTACTAGAGAAAAAGGAAAGCAAGAGGCAGAAAATATTTGAATTTCAATCTAACAACGAGAAAAGAAAGAAATACCATGAGCAATAGTTTGTGCGCCCAAAAAAATGAGATCCTCATCAAAATGGTATACTCGTTGATTATGCGAAGAAGTAAAAGTTAAGAACATTTAGGTAGCATGTAGGTACCTTGAGCGGGAACGTGAGACAGACCTTCGGTAAGATACTGATGGAGAGCGTCGTGAATATGTTGCCTCCGGTGATATGCTGCAACAAGAGAATCTTTGTCAAAACTGCACTGTCCAAAAGTATAATACCTACCTAATGTGAACAGAAAACCACTGTCGACCTTCTGCTCCGGCCCCCATAGCTATAGCTGCGGCTGACACTTGGACTTCTTGACATATATGGAGTACGGCTGGGGCTTCTAGAGTAGCTCCGTCTATGGTCATAACCAGGGCTTCTGGAATAGCTATGCCTAGAATCATACTCCCTCACCTGGACATAGAAGAAGAATATCCAAAATGGCATAAGTGGAATCTCAAATTCAGCACAACGTGCACATCATAGTATACCCAAACATAAGTCAAAGTTAAAATAATACCCGTATGTAAGAGCGAGCAAAGGCATTTCTGAATTCAGAGTCATCAAGTTTTCTGATCTGCAGATCACGCCGAATCAGACAATTTCAAAAGAACAATGCAATTGTATCATCTTTTCATTACTTTAACTTACAGCATATTTCATATCCTCGTAGTTTGTGTAATCTACAATTCCCTTCATGCCTACAAGAATATCGTTATGAAATCTATTAAAAACGACCATACCATTTCAACAAAATAAAAGTACATAAAAGGAAAAAGTACACGCTCCAAGCCAATGAATCTGGAAAAAGTACATGCTCCAAGCCAATTAATCAACTCACCATCACGATCACGGAACACTTGAGAAAAGCAGACATCGCCAGCTCGGCGCATGTGATCCTGATCATTAAATACAATTAACTAATAGTTAAGTCATATACAGAAAACTTTTCAAGTATCTCTTCTAATATTTAATTGCAATGCCAGAAAACAAATGTATAGGAAGAGAACACATTTACAGAATAAATTCTTACTTTCAGATCCTGCCACGAAGCAGCAGGAGGCAATCCAGTAACCAGCACTGCGCATGGGAGTGACAAACAATAAGTTAAACAAATTCAACTCCAGAAAGCTCCAACAAAAATACTTTTGATCTCCCTTCATACCACGATAGTCAGAGCGCCGAGAAGCACCACGGCTGCTGCTACTACGACTGTAACTGCTGGAACGATGTGATGAGGAGTGCCGTCCACCATGTGCTAGTTCAACCTACAAAGCCAGATGCCAAAAACATACAAAGAAAGAATAAAGTAATTCGCACGTACTCGCAAATACAAGATGCATTCGAAGAAGGATATATACGAGTATGACTAACCCGTAAACGAAACCCATCAAAGTCGTACCCATCCCGGCCATAAATTGCATCATCAGCATCACGAGGATCTTCAAACTGAAATTAAGCATCGAATTTGAAAGTATAACACAGATATCAGCCAACAAAACACAACTAACAAACTCATCAACACTCAGATTTAACACTTACCTCAACAAAAGCATAACCTGGCGGTCTTGGAGGGATTTTGAGATCAATGTCAACAATAGGTCCATACTGCAATTTACATAGAAATATTAAAATTAAACCCATTTTTCTGCGTAAAATATAAATCATGATCATCCATGCAAAACCTAGCAAAAAACACTAAATATCTCATTAAATCTTTTTTTTTAATCAATATATCTCATTAAATCTAACAAATTGTTCATCTAATTCAGAAACAAAAAAAAAATGGCAGAGATAAAATTTGATTTTTACAAATAAATATATCAAAAAAAAAACTCCGCAGAAAATAATTAATTTCAATTAAATTGTGAAAAAAATAAGAAAAAAATGCGACCTTCAGGAACAAATCTTCAACTTCTCTCATACGAATATCTCCAGGCAGATTGCCGACGTAGATAGTGCAACTCGATCGACTACTCATCTTTTTGCTCCCCTGAAAAACACAATCAGGATATCATAAAACCATTAAAAATAAAATAAAATTCAAACTTTACAGTTTCAAAACAACGAATTTCCGTACCCCAAAAGAAAAACTAGGAATTTACTTACTAGGGCTTATTAATTTTTCGGAAAATTATAGGGCTTTACCTTTAATTCACAGAGATTGCAGGGGGGGGGGGGAGAGAGAGAGAGAGAGAGGAGAGAGATGGTTCAGTTAGGGTCTGACAGAGTTGGGAGATTCTGGAGAGTTTTGGGAGCTTCTGGAAGGATGAAGCATGAAGGGGTGGATTAATGCGGTTATATATTCTGTGTTTCCAGTGTTTGTACGGCTAACACGTGGCGTTAGATCAACGGCCTGAACGAGATGCGTGTATGGTTAGCGATCTATCAGCACCGTCACATGGCATGTATCCTTTTTTTGGGTCAAACTCACATGGCATGTACCTATGGCGACAATACTGAGCTACTTTACTTTATTTCGATGTAATAATATTTTAACACATATTTATAGTTTCAAAAAATAATAGACATGTTAATTAATTTTTAAGTTAAAAAAATAAAGGAACACGTAACTCTTTAATTGGATCAAGTTAAAAAATGTGCAAATAAAATATTCACTAGTAAGTACCTAAATGTTATCTAATCGCGAGAAAAATTATATTTATGAGAAATGCACGAGTGTTTTGAGTATCATCACTTAGAATTGATAGTTTCTGCTGTTTAAAATCAATAAGGAGTTCCTGGGTTCATAACACTATGTGTGTTTATTTACTTTCTAATTTTTAATTCATAGAAGTATATATTTATAAATTTTTGTCAAATGATAAAAAAAAAAAAATTTATTAGAAATGGTGGTTTATATGGTTTAAAATTAACTAGGAGATCCCAAGTTTGAAATGTTATGTGTGTTTATTTACTTTATAATTTTACAAATTTCTTTTCATAAGAATATAAATTTATAAAATTTGATTAATTAATTATTGTTTAAAATTAACAAGAGGTATTGAGTCCGAAATCTTATGCGCATGTTTATTCTTTCCAATTTTTACAAAGTTCAGTTGGTTGTTAATTTCTTTTTAATTACTAGCTAGTAGTTATGTGGGTTGTTGTCACATCCCAACCTGGGCTTCACCACATTTCAGGCTCGGCTCGTAGCACGATATTGTCTGCTTTGGGCTTTGACCATGCCCTCACAATTTTGTTTCTAGTAACTCACACGAGAACTTCACAGTGGGTCACTCATCCTATCAATGCTCTCACCCGAATTCGCTTAACTTCGAAGTTCTGATAGAATCCAAAGCCATTCAGTTCCCAAAAGGCCTCGTGCTAATGGAGATGAGCATGTACATATAAGACACATTACCCCCTCTTCGTTGGTCGATTTGAGATGTTACAATTGTGGGTCGCAATTTTTAAACAGTCATTCCAATTCAAGTCTAACCTTCAAATTTTTAGATCAAATTTGCAAATCTTATGATGTGTCACCAATATATTTAACTTGGTGCTCATTTATTTCATATCTATATCAATTAAAGACTCGAATATGATTATTTTTTTTATCCCATATTGACAAGGTTAGTAAATAAGAAAAAAAAAACACCTCACAATTTATATAAAACCACTTTAAAACTATAGATAGAAAGGAACACAACTCATTATTTATCTACTTGTAAGTTTGGGATTTCTTGGTTCCCTTCTCTAAGTACAAAATAAATTAGTTTTTTTGTGTTCATAGATTATTGAGTTTGGTTTGTTTTCTAAGTACAATTTATCGAAATCTTAAATGTGAAAATAAATAATTTTTTTACATGAAGTTACGACACATTTTTGATGGCATACCGGGGCTCAGAAATCTCAAGACCAACTTTACATTGGATCAATAAGAACAAAATGATCACGAGTTGTCCCAGAACAAAAAAATGTTGTTTGTATAATGATATATGTCATATGCATCATGTTAAGACACACTAAAAAACCTCTCCTAACTTAGACAGAAAATATACGTCTTGTGAGACCGGGGAGGCGGAAATGTTTTTTATAGACTTTAAGAAGGTAGCTATCATTTTTTAAAGAAATAAAAAAAGGACAGAAAATATATGAAAAATATGGAACACGTGTAATCTTACTGCCGCCCACCGATTCGCAGGTACACCACTTTGGTTTTACCATTTTGCTTCCGAGTCCTCACCAAAGCCACTACCACAACTTCAGAACCACTTCAATTATTTTCTCTCTGCAAAAAACTTAAAAAGAAAAAAAGAAGAAAATCTGTCTCAATAATGTCGGAACCCAAGAGCAAGGTCGATTCTCTCAGGGAATGGGTTGTCGAGCACAAGCTTCGAGCTGTTGGTAAATTTCCCTGCTTGTTTATCTTTGATTTTGCTCTCTAATTTTGTTTGCTTTTTCCATGGTTTTAATTGGCAAATGCAAGATATTGTATTTTTCTTGGATTTAAGTCGCATTTAGTGATGAAATACATGTTTCACGATTTGGGTTTTAGGTTTTGAGTGATTTTGGCATCCATTTTTATAATATTTGACGGAAATATCTATCTTTGGCTTTATCACCAAATTAATTAAGGAAAATTTTATTTGAACTCATCTAAGCTTTTTTTATACTAAGGAGTGTGTATTCAATTGAGATTTTAAGAGATTTTAATTCTTTTAATGAATTTATGGGTATTCAATAGGATTTGAAGTGATTCTCTGAAATTAAGAAATTAAGGTGTATTCAATTAGAATTTTAAAATAGTTTATTAAAATCTTTAGAAATTCGGATGTATTCAATTAGGATTTTCAAGAAGTTTATAACATTATAGGTGTATTTAATTAGAAATTGATTTTAAAGAATTTGAGAAAGTTGAAGAATTTGAGGGAATTTGAGAGATTTCGTAATGTATTTTAAGCATCTACAAATCTTACATCTCCTATGAGATTTCAAGTGAATTGAATCAAAATTTTATATGGAATCTCTACAAATAAATTAAATTCCATAAAAATCCATGAATTTATAAATCTATTAAAGTCTCTCAAATTCTCAATTGAATACACCCCTAAATTTACTTTCTTCATCCATATTTTTTTAATTAAAGAATTAATATCTCTTTAAATCTAAATTTATTACCTAAACTACAATTTCAAATCCAATTCAAAATATAAAATTATCTTTACACACATTCGTTTTATAAAATAACATCTCTACCTTAATGTTTTTTTTTTTTTTGAAGAGGCTTCCTTTGCCCCTGTATAATTGCATATGACTAGCATTTCAATGGCTTATTTTTTTTCTGCTACCAAACCCATCCGTAGATTTGAAATTACCAGAGAATGCGATGCAAGCTCCAATTCAATCCATCACTTTGCCAGGAAAACATTTGACCTTGATGCTTTGGATTTGGATGGAGACATGCCACCCGCAAGTCAGTGGTTAAGGTTTATGAGGTTGGGCGATTGTTATTTGCACCAAGAATCAAGTTATATGTCTTTGTATTACTGATCAAAAGTGTTTTGAGGCAGATAGACGGCAAAGAAAAATAAATACAATATAATATAATAAGTATGAAATTTAATCCAAAGAAGCAAACAAACAAAATATCTATAAATCAAGTCATATCTTAGTTGGAGGATTCAAAACTTCAAAATCACTATCCATCAATAAAAATCCTTGTTTTTCTCTATCAGAACTGTGAGAGTTTTCTAGGGTTTAATTATAGTGTCTGAGTTTATCGAGAAATTTGAGTTTTATTATTAATTTCATTTTGTATTTAATAATAATTATGCAATAGGGTAAAATAGACAATTAACATTTAAAATTTAAGTTTGGTGCAAAAAAGAGATTACATGGATTTAAATAAAATTTCCCATTAATTTTTTAGATATTGTTCTTCAATTACTGCCCTTGGTTTTTTATTTTGGTATTTTAGATTATTGGAAACAATGGTATTTAGTTGCCAGATTGCTGCATAATTGTGTGTATGTGGATCCTTACATTGTAGTTCTGGTTTTTGACAGTTTTTTGCTTTTGTTTCCATGACTTAGGTCTTCTATGGCTCAGTGGAATTACGGGTTCGATAGCTTATAACTGGTCTCAGCCCGGCATGAAGACCAGTGTGAGGATCATCCACGCCAGGTACTTTTGCTATTTGTGGATTCTCGGTTTCTTTTTTGACAGATAGTGATGTGCGGATGTGCTTACCACATTTTGTAAATATAGGCATTTACTTAGTTATATAACTTTACGCGAAACAGGTAGGTCGATCTTTTCACTAAATTTTGTTGAGTCGAGAGTTTGAGTTACATACTCGTTTGAAGTTGAAAGAATATTAGGTCGACAGGAGCTTATGAACATTTTCTGATGATTAAATGATACTATCTTGTTTGGCATTTGGCTCTCTCTCTTTGAACTGGATGTCAGTTTGTGGTTACTGAATATCTATGCCGGAAACTATGCCCGTCCCGGTATTCCCTACCCTGCCAGTGCTATTTGCCTCTTAAGTCCTATCCGTAGGTTGCCCTGGTATGAAAGTTGATGCCTTGGTATGGATTTTATTATGACTGGTGTAATGGAATTAGTGATTTTCTCTTCCCAAACAAAGCCAGTCGATGGAATACCAAAAAAATTAGACCTTATTTTTTAATATAATTTATGTGAGAATATATATTCCTACGTGCAGATACCATTGTTCCTGAATTTGACAGAAAAACCATGACTTTGGTGCGAAATTTTCGGTTAGAAGTGATTCTGAGATTTGATCGGGTTTACAATTTTTGCAATTAATGGGATATTTGATGCGTAAGATGGCATTCAATTTGTTAATTTAGCAGATGGCAGCCGCCTCTGAATTCGCTGGAAGCAGTGTTATCATAGCAATGATATTTCTTTTCCCCATCATCTTATACCTTCTCTATTTATTATTTCAGATTAGCATGTCGTTGTTAGGGAAATTGTATCATGAAATTTAGTCTCTTGGATCCATAGCCTAAACCCGGAGATTGCTTCAAACATGCGATTAGTCCAACATGTGAGATTAAGGGATAAAATCCTTGATATACAAAATCCTAAGAGAAAATGCTTAAACAGACTTGTGGTATTCAGGGAGTGTGGAGGTCCAAATTGAATTCCCATTGTCAGTGATTCTGGGTATAAATTTTCTTCCCTATGTCGACCGGGAATGCTTCTCCCCTTTTCTTCCATCTGATTCGTCTGTTTAACTTCTAATTTGTGCATCTCACTTATCCTTCATTTTCTAATTTTCCTTGTTTGCATTCACATTGAGTACCTGTGTATTATTCCCGACTTCTTACTCCTTGATTTTTTTCAGGTTGCATGCACAGGCTCTGACGCTTGCCGCATTAGCTGGTGCAGCAGTGGTGGAGTACTATGACCACAAAACTGGAGCAAAACATGACAAATACGCCAAGTACTTCCCAGTTGAGGACTTTAACAAGGATTCCAATTGAGAACTTTAACGAGGATTAAGCATCGCGTTCGACGACCCTGCTTGGGGAAACATTTAACCCCACATAGCATGGCATGGCCTTGCGCAAGTTTTTCTAGAAAATAGTTGGAGGATGATAAGAAAAATAACTGTGTGAACAGCCTTTCTTCAACCATTATTTTGTTTGTCTGTATTAACTCCGATTGTAATCAGGCACGGGATTTCTGTGCTACTGATTTGCAAGTATGCAGTAATTAGGCCTCGGCCTTTCGTGAATTCAACGACATTTTTTCTGCTTCCTTTTGCACAATCTAAATCTCTCTTTTGAGTCTATTTACTTTGGTCATGTGGATTGACCGAATATTCGTGACGCATAGGGTTGTAGGTTTTCAAGTCAATCGTGCACTGCTATGTGTTTTTAACTGTTATATATAGTAAGGCATGATTGGTTAGGACATTGTCACAGTGATATTCTTGTTGTTTAAGGTTTCTTCTCTATCTGTATTGGTTTAAGTGGAAGTATGCCCATAACTTGAGACATATATTGAACATGAAAGTTTGAATATTACGTTTTTGTTTTGATGAAATTCGTAATCTCAAAACTGCTCCGAGCAATAGTGTAAATTATCTTATTGTTTGTCGAAAAAATAAGGTCCCGTACAATTTAATCTAAAATATGAAATGACATAGTGAATGAGAATCTCTGAAATTACACAACATCATAAACTGCACTTACAATATTCAGTCACAATATAGATCTCTCGAATCTCGACCATATACCAAGAAATTAATCAGAGTGGAAAAACTGAACAAACGACGTAGTTTCCAATTAAAAATCAAGACCAGAAATTGGAAACTCAACAAACAACTAATTGGCACTCAAATATTTAAACAGATGCGATGTTGACTCTCAACTTGTTCTTGCAATATATTAAGCTCGAGTAATAATTAATGTTTAGTAAAAATGCCAAGCTCTTTTTATTTTTTATTTTAGATGCCAATGATGTTCAAATATCACCTTTATCAACCATCTCGCTTGCTCTTAATTTTCAAAAGTGTGATGTTATTTGAACACACAAAACTGACACACTTATTGACACGACCTCTAATATAAGGTGAGGTTTACATACAATTGACACAAGCAATAGCTTGAAAATATCCTCGAGACACAATAAACAGGAATATGCATAAGATCTTTGATAGTGAAGTTGTAGTTGGCTAAGCGTCCATCTTTGTCAACCAAAAGAACCTCCTACCTCTTCTAAAGTATCAATGGATGTCTACCTCTTGATCCAATTCGGGAAAAACAGACAAGTGTTTTGTCCAACCGTCGTCAAATTCATCCATCACCCAAATTTCAAGGGTTTCTTCATATCCGCCGTGGTAAAAGCCAGAAAGAGCAACAGATCCAGTTCGGACAAAATTGTTAGCGTCATATTAAGTTACCAACTACATATCATGTTGTTCCTGCACCTCTTACTTTCATACATACCTTTTGAAAATTTTATGAGCCTTTAGGGATTAAACTTCCCACTTTGTTTGGGGTGAGAAAATTTCACCTTCCTGTTCAACCTCTTAGGGTTAAAACTTCCACTGGGTTATGTGGTCATGCTCCCCTCATAGAACACCTAAGGATGGATGAACAAGCATTACTAGGGGAGCTAGGGCTTGCGGGAAATTACCACTTTAAGTCCTTGCTGTTAAGTGATCTTTGTGACGTTTCTTGAATAAATGGTTTGATTGGGACTCAAGAAAGGATCAGGATCCTCTCCTGACCTTAAAAGACTGAGCCTGCTGAGCAGACAATCGTGACCATCGAAATTTGATACAACAACTACAATTATTATAACTTTCAGAGGGTCCCCCTATTTTCAACAACCACGATTGTCTGTTCAGCAGACTTAGTTTTTTAAGGTCTAGAGAGGATCCTAGTCCCTCAAGAAATTCAATCAAACATTGTAAAACTGATGAACACATTGTACTTATCCATCTTAAATATGAGCATGGGAGGGAATAGTTCCTCGACTGATGAAGATATTTTTGTAAGAAGCCTACGATAATGGTATGACGCACTCAAGAAACTGTGGAGCCTCTGAAACCATAAAAATTGGAAAATGCTAAGAAGAAAAAGCAAAATTTGCTTTTGCGTATTCACCATGATATGTGAATTATTGTTGACCAACGCATATGTTTTGGTGTATCTAGAATACCGTCATACAGTGTTATTATTTCATGATTTAACTTCATAGGGTGTTATAGTAAAAAATTGAAGCTATTTTTTTAGACTGAAACAATGCGTATAACGTGCAAAATACTCTTTATTCTTAAAGTCTCGGTCATTTTATCAAGCACTTAGTTAGCATATAGTCATTTGTTGAGCTATGTTGCTCATCGGTAAACAAATATCTAAAGATGATGAATGAGTCATATCAAGTTTTATCAACACATACTAGTGAGTGGTGTCAACGTGTATTGCCAAGCGTCATCGATGCATGTTGTTGGGCGGACATTTCATCGAATACTTCGTGGGGACTCTTAGTATTCGATGAAATGTCTGCACGAAGTATTCGATGAAATGTCCGCCCAACAACATGCATCGATGACGCTTGGCAATACACGTTGACACCACTCGCTAGTATGTGTTGATAAAACTTGATATGACTCATTCATCATCTTTAGATATTTGTTTACCGATGAGCAACATAGCTCAACAAATGACTATATGCTAACTAAGTGCTTGATAAAATGACCGAGATTTTAAGAATAAAGAGTATTTTGCACGTTATACGCATTGTTTCAGTCTAAAAAAATAGCTTCAATCTTTTACTATAACACCCTATCAAGTTAAATCATGAATATATTATGTATAAAACGATACACCACTTGACACTTACTTTGCGACTGCAAAAATTTCTCCCAACAACCAAGCATAAATAACCAAACACGAATCATGGTGATTGTTGTTTTTACAAGCTTTGACATTTGTGCATTGCGTGTACAAGCACTCCCACATACGACATATTCCTTCTCGTCCTCTTTTCCCTCTCTCCTCTTTAAAGCATTGCTTGCAATTTAAGGTTCGTTCATCAATATATGGCAGGGCAGCACTGCTTGTCTTTCTTTCTTGTCCCCTTCCCTCACTTCAATTTCCAACGCTCCAAAGCCCTATCAGAAATCAAAAGATCAGAGTCCCCCACTTTCTTAGGCAAAGTGCAAGAGCCACCCCTTTGCTTACAAACCCTTCTTTTTGACTGTCAAATTTATATAACCTTACGCCATCTTCCTGTCAAAACTGGTCAGTCTCAAACCTACATAGCGTTTAATTTTGAATAGTGTGGTCAATGGAAGAGAGGACTTGGAAAGCCTTTGCTGTTTGCATAAATTAGTTTAGCTCGTCAACAAACGATAAAATGCGACTAATAATGTAGTTTACTTCTGATAATTATGGTTGAAAGTTATTTTCCAAAAATTCTGCATATCACACATTAGAGTTTACAAAAGACTTGATGAAAAACCAAACATAATAATTAACATTTAAAATTTTATACAGCCGACCCTGACCTCACTTACTGGAAGAGGGCTTGGTTGTTGTTGACATGCATATCACACATTTTAATTTATATTCTATTAAAAATATAATTTGCTCAAAAATAATAATAAGTAATAATAATACTAATTTGTGGTTCAGGATAGTTCTTAAGTATATGTTTCGGAAATTTTAAACATAAATCATTAAATCCAATCGAAATAGCATCACTCAACCTGTGCTCATTAGTTATTACTTGACAAGCTTCTTGAGTCAAGGATCTTTAGCATGATGCATGGCCATAATGTTTTTACGGTTTTCTCCGCCTGGTTAATTACTTTTTAGTTACGAGTACTTTCTTCTTGTCAAGCTTTGGTTTCGTCATGGTATCCCTTCTCATGTGACTTGCATCTTAAAAAGCATAATTCAATACAAGTTCTTCTTTTAGCTAAATAAAACGAACGAAGAAAATGCTAAGAAGAACGCATTTATTAATCTTGATAATTTTGCCAATTGAGAGAGATTTTTCAACATGACCAGCATATGAGATGATATATCATGTGTCACTATACAAATGATGAAATATGTGTTGAAAAATTAATAACTTAAAAATAAAATTTCCAACTACTTACATAAAAATACGTGATGTATCATAAAATTTCCAACTACTTACATAAAAATACGTGATGTATCATCCGTGTTTCCGTCGTAATGAAAAATTTCTCCAAGATTATAATTGCAGCAGAAATGTATACAAATGTCATAGAAGAACTTAAAAAACAACTATTTAGGGCTTGCAAATGGATACAACTGCCCATAGATATTGGATTGAGATTCTCTGTAGATCTCATACATTAGAGCTTGTGGACCGTGCAACCTGGATTTCAGTTTGGTTCCATTAATTAGTTTATTAATTTTGACCCACCTCACATACAATCTTTCTCCAACGCCCAGATATTCTCTGCTCCAAATTGCTCGGTCCGCGAGCTTCAGAATGTGAGAACCGGAGAGTATTTCAATCCCATAATATTGACATCCTCTTCTTACATGCAGAATTCTGTGTCTTTGTGATCATGAGCCAACGTCCCATACTTGAACTTCTCATGCTACGCAGAGAGAGAGAGAGATATGTCTACAAATAAAAAAACCAAAGCATATGAGTTAAATATCTCAAAGAAACGAATTAAACGAAACATGTGATATGTGGCAGTGGAAATCCAAGACACTGAAGAGAAGATAATCGAAAGTTCTACGTTTACTTTCCTTAACTTTACCATCCTACGCACGTACAGCGTTCACACGGCTTTGTTGATCGAGCTAGTGATGCAGAAACGGGGCGTGGAAGAAAGAGAGGTGAGAAACTTGTGTTGGAGAAGGGGAGCACGTGTAAAGTTCTGGTAAAGCTCAAGCTCCCAATGAAGGAGTGCCTGGGCTAGAATTTGCACGTGCCCTGCTTCTCCAACACGAACTACTCACCCATGCACCATGCATACCCGTCATAACTCCTAAAGACCCCCATAACCCTGGCCACTCTTTACCCATTTGGTTTTGTTTCAACCAAAGAGTGAATCAGAAATATGAAGGAGCCCATGCATTTATATATAAATTTTTCTAGGAGAGAGAGAGAGACTCAAACAGAAATAGGAGAAATTTTTAATTGTAACGGGAACACGGATAATACATTACGTGTTTTTATATAAGTGGTGCGAAATTTTATTTTTTAAGTTATCAATTTTTTAACACACATATT